CTAAGTGAAAGTTCGGTTCTGGCGAGGCACCGCTTATATGAGAAATCGCTATATGAAACTGCGTAAAGCGGGTACAACTGTATATATTTTTTTATTTATTTTTTTATTATTATTATTATTATTAAGACTAATCTTTATATCCACAGTTCCTTGAACATGGTAAAACTACACATGCCATGGGACGGTTCGGAGAGGTGGAGGAAGTATCGAGGGCAGTGGTGTTCTTAGCATCTGACAATGCTACGTTCATCACCGGAGCCACTCTGCCCATTGATGGAGGTCGCTCTATTATGTGTCCTCGTTAAAGCTGGCAGTAACTAGAAGATGAATTTCGTTATTTTAAGATTTTATGAAGGTTAGTTACCATAATATCATTAAAATGTACAGTACTATTTCTTCTTTAATACCATAAATATGTGAGTAAAATAACAAACTAAATAGGGAAATTGATAGGTAGAAAATAAAATAAAACTTAAAAGTAATGTATCAGGTTGTGCTTGCATATTAAAATAAAAAGATACAGTACTGTGATATATAGAAGTAGAAGGTGGGATCTAGGGTCCTTTCTCAGTGGGGGATCTAAAGGTGATTGACCCAATACTGGGGTGAAACTTCCCACCTAAAAATATAGTTAAGTATTTTTGGAACCATACTCTAAGTCTAAGCTATGTATGAGGTAGTCAAAAAGTTCCCAGAATGTAGCCATATTATTTATTCAACATCTTTAACCCATAAATGGTCACTGACAGTAATTATGTATCCCATGTCATACGCTAATTGATCACTGTCGTAGTTCAAGTGATATTAAGCTAGAGTTCCCAAGGCTTTTTACTTAAGTGCTCCTATTGGTCCAAATATGATGAATAACTCATTTCATATGACTTAAACGTATAAACATATTCACGGGAGCCAACTTATACCCTCCCATCTGTGTTATCATGAGTGAGAGCATGGTCATCGCTCTAGGAACCTCTCCAGTGATGAGATAGCAGTCGAGTTGAGGAATTTTGTGGACACTGATATTAATTCAAAGAATGATCTCAGTTTTGATGACTTATGTGGACAACCCAGATTATATGGCACTGAGGGGAGGAGGAAGGGTTTGAAAAGGAGGAAACATGTGCTGTCCTCTTACCACCCCCATCTCTTGTCCTGCTCTACTTTTCCACAGCCTGTGGTCCCTTTCATTGCTCTGACAATGATTTTGTAGACTTCAGGGGGGATTGGGCTCATCCAACACGGCAGGGCATAATACGCCCCAGGAAGAGACAAAGGAGTAAGCCAAGCTCGAGGACATTATCACGTGACTCCTCCTCATGTCCGCCACTCCTTTCTTTGTCAAGGCCCGCCCCTCTCACCAATTCCTGCGTCTCACTCCCCAGATGACCAGCCACTCTTGCCTGCCTATACCACAGCTCCCCCACTGTCTACTTCTGGCATTGCCCGCCATTCTCGCTGTGTTTCGCATTGTCAGGATACTTCACAGTGTACCCTGACCCCCAGAGACGACACTAGGGGCCTAGTCAATTTCTCCCCGATTCCCTGCCAAATGTCAGCGTCTGACAACTCTGGCACTGAAGTCACCTAGGAGCACAACCTTATCTTCTCTGGGGATAGAGGTTAACACTCTGTAAAAGTTGGCATAAAAGGCCTCCTTAATGTCATCTTTGCATCCAGTGTTGGGGCGTATGCACTGATTAAGAAGGCATGGCGTGAGTGATTCATTGGGATTTGGAGAGTCATGAGGTGCTCGTTGATCCCAATAGGTATTTCAGTTAGCTTGTGTAGGATGCATTGGCAGATGGCAAAGCCAACTCCATAAATGTGGTTTCTCTCCGCAACAAGCTTATTTCTTCTAAAATAAGTTATAGCCAGACCCTCATTCTTTGAGTCGACCCTTGTCTGGGAGCCAGGTCTCACTAATGGTTGCTATGTCAAAGTTATAACTAGCTAACTCTTTTGCCACAAGGGCAGTTTTTCTTTCAGGATGCTCATTTGTTAGTGTCCAGGAGGGTCCTGACATTCCATGCAGCAAATCATAAGAGTTTTGATCTGTGATTAATTTTTCATGACCCAGGCTGTTTAGGTCTTTTCATCCTCCCCATGTGAGTGAACAGAGGGTCCCAGATCCCAGTTATCTCCTGCCTGTCTAATGAGATCAGGAGCAAGAGGCTGAAACCATGGCTTTCTTTTTCCAGTGGTGTTAGTGTTGCAACTACTGGGGAGAGGAGAGTTGCAATGGACTGCCGATAGCCCAGTTTGTTGGGTTTTGCCTTAGTAGCCTGTCCATCATGCATTGCCTAGGGTTCCCATGTTGGTCACCTCTTCTGCCTATACCGCCATTGGGGTCTTGTTGGAGCGTAGGCATGTATGCCTGATGCGGGGCACCACTGCAGAGTTTTCATTCAGGGTTTACTCCCGTAGCCTTATACCTCCTGAGGTTAATCGGCAAGGCATCAGGGCAATGGTTGGTAGGCGCCAGGACATATCCACATGCCAGTGAACCTATGCAGCATCCCTCTGGGGCCCACTGCTGCTCTGAGATCCCCTGCTGGTCTAGCCTGGGCCCACGAGACACCCAGTTACTGTGTGTTACCATGAGGAGGCACAGCAGGAGTCTTGATGGTGACTAGGCTGTGGAATGGTAGGCGAAGACTTGGCAAGTTGCTCCCCTGTTCACCACAAGGGCTAGCCAGTGGCAGTAGCTGAAAGCAAGAGAGAGCAAGCAGTGCCTGCATCTTAACACCACCCTGTGTGCACACACACCACCCACTCCCCAACATCACATCCCCTCCCTCCCACCTTCCCACTCACTGTCTCAAACTACAATTGTCATTACTATTAATTAAACTGTCATTAATGATACAATTTATTCAGGATCTTACGCAATTAGAACTGGTGGTGGTGGCGTAACCCTTGCAGGGGGGGGGATGACCACACTGTCAGATTGCCCACCTCTCCGCAGGGGTCTAGTCTTTTCCTCCCCCATTATGGCTCACCTATTCAGATACAATATTGGAAGTACATTATTTATTTGTTATTCATTAATTGGTAAAGATACATTACTGTAATAATCTGTGTTTAATATTGTACCTGCTTTCTTGATATACAATATTGTATTATCTCAAGGTAAAAAAAAAAATCTCGGCACAATAAGAACAGATGCTGTGAAAAAAATTTTATACAGTTTTCGCTAGTCATAAATATTTTCGCCTTCAGTCTAGTTGTAATAGGAGTGTGTTTGTCCACGCAATATGAGATGTAAAGTTAAGAGTAGAGATGCACAATTTAAATTCTAGAAAACTTTACCCAGCACCTCAAAACTTTCTGGGAATGTGGGCTAATGTATGGCATGCATAGTTTAGATTCCTCCAAACTTTTCAGTAACTGGAAAAATTCGGATAAAGGATTGTTCTGGGTTTGAAAGAGTCGCCTGGTTACCCAGAAATCTCTTTGTTCCTGGAAGCAAAGGACAGCACCAATTGTTCCAGCTAATGGGGATATCACTACATAACTGTACTTGGTATATCCTCTTGATTGTGTTAAAAGGAAGAACTAAAACATTTATTTCTATATATTTTTATTATACAGTAGTATTTGGTGTTTTGAAGATTATAGGGGGTTGATAGTAAAGTACAATCAATGAGAACATAAATTTTAATGTTTTATGTGATGTCCAAGCTAATGAATGAATAAATTCAGGAATGCATTTTCCTAAAGTAAAAATTAATGTTTGTCTAGGATGTTGCTGATTATGATATATGATTAATGATAACCATGAAATTATCTAATGAAGTAATGAAGAATACTTATAAATATAAAAGATAACTACTAATAACTTTGAAACAGAGAGAAACCAACCAATGGACAACTTAAAGTTGCTATAAAAGTTTTAAGTCATGATACACTCTAGCAAACAATGAATCAGTACCCAACATATAAAGAATTCTTTTTCTAAGACTTCCCTTAGTAAAAGATAAAGAAATATTGTTATACATACACAGACTTCTCAGGCTAACGCTCAGCACCAGAGGAGTACGCGGTATGTATATATAAATATGTACAGGATATACATATGTATGGTATATGCAAGAAGGATGTATCATATACGTGGAATGTCTTTGTCTCAAACACCAGGTAAAGGGATAGTGAAAGAGACAATCAAGAACCATGTGCCTGTTATTGCATCAGGAGCTTTATAAAGGTCTTTTATGAGTCTATTAGAACATTAGGTACATGCTATATACTTTGAAAAGTGTATATAATCATGCTGTACACGAGATATTAACTTAGGATTGAGAAAGGTCCTGTATAGATCACAATCTATCTGCAATGTACACCTTACAAGAAACACTCAGTTGCTAGTACATGCAGAACTAGAAGCACCAATCAACACCTTAAATGGGATTATTAGTTCTACAATATATGAATGTACAAAAGGAGTTGGTAAGTCACTTTGGAGATTGTAACATGAAGCTTGCAGTCAATCTGAGCTTGCACCACCCGCTGTTGTTCACGTGGCATGACTAGTCACTCTGTGCCTGCATTCTATTTTTGGTTGCCATGTAAGGCCTGTTATAATGCAAAATTCTTTTCTATCATGAAATGTAATTACTTTTTACTATTCTACATGCTTGGCAGTATGTCTTAGGCTGAATAGCCTAACATGACCTGTAGTCAGTGGATTACAACAACCAATCTGAAAATGAATCACATGTAGCTGGTTGTTAAACTGGGCTTATTTCAAACCAGTTCTACAATATTTACTGTTGGCCTTCTTCTGAGGACTACAGCGGTCAGTGCAGTTACTATTTTTGACAACTACATTATCACAAAACTGTACACACACATTCTCTCCCCAATATATCAATTTTGTACTGCCCCAACAGTCACTGAACCTTCAGTCAACAATTAAAAATCATCTGGCACACCAAAAAAATATTAGGATGGTTTTCATTATCGACCAGGAGAATTTCAAATGAAATCTTTCCTTATATGAT